GACGGTGCTGCAGACGGCGTCGGCGATGGGCGACGCCCTCTCTTCCAAGGCGCTGCGTGACGTGCGCCGGCAGCTCGACATGAAGCCCAATCGTTCACTCCTCCCTCACATAATCAACAGGCGCTGCGTGACGTGCACCGGCAGCTCGACATGAAGCCAGAAGGCCCGCGCCTCGACGCGCGCCCCAGCCCCCCCGCTACGCGAGAGGGCGCGAGAGGGCGCGAGAGTCGCCGAGGTCATTAGGCTCGCGTCTCGACGAGTGCCTGCGCAAGCTGCGCGGCTACCGCTACCTCGAGTTCGCGCTCGACTCGAAGACGTGCCCTCTCCCCTCCGCCATGCCGCGCGGCATGTCCAGGACGCGTCCAGGACGTGTCCATGACATGCCCGCGACACGTCCGCAGGTACTCCTTCCGTTCCGCCATGCTGCGCGACGTGCTCTACTCGAACCTCCCTTTCGAGAAGCGCAAGCGCGTGCACGAGGCCGCGCCGCGCCGCCCCCCCGGGCAGCGGTGTCACGGCGTCTCTTCACAGCCGAGCCTTCTGGCAGGCGACGGCGCGCGGGATCGTCGCCGAGGCCGCTCGCGGCGACGCAAAGGAGGCGGCGTTCCTGTCCGCGCTGAAGCACTACAAGACGGCCGAGAACTGGGGGCAGGTGATGCTCCTCGCTGCGGACGCGGCCGAGCAGGCATGCCTCGGCTGTATCATCTCGGCTGCACCTCGGCTGCACCTCGGCTGTATCATCTCGGCTGCACCTCGGCTGCACCTCGGCTGCACCTCGGCTGCACCTCGGCTGCACCTCGGCTGCACCTCGGCTGCACCTCGGCTGCACCTCGGCCGCACCTCGGCTGCACCTCGGCTGCACCTCGGCTGCACCTCGGCTGCACCTCGGCTGCACCTCGGCTGCACCTCGGCCGCACCTCGGCTGCACCTCGGCTGCACCTCGGCTGCACCTCGGCCGCACCTCGGCTGCACCTCGGCCGCACCTCGTACCTCGCACCCGGCTCGTATCTTGTTCTGGGAGGAGACAGCCCCCCCTCGACCTCCCCTCGACCTCCCCTCGACCTCTCTCGGCAGGCGCTCTCGTGTGCGTCTTGGGAGGAGGCCGTCTCGGTGACGACGCAGGCCAGCAAGCTCCTTGGGCAGCAGACTGACGTTCGTTCGTCTGCTTCTTCTTCTTCTCAGTCTTCTTCTTGCTGTTGTCGCAGGCCAGCATGCTCCTCCGGCAGCACGGCGGCGCCCTCGCCCCTCTCCCTCCCGGCTCGGCAACCCGCTGGCTGGTGCTTCGCGGCGAGGCGCTGCTCGCTCTCGGCAACCGCGCGGAGGCGACTGCCAGCCGTCCCCCTCGGCCTGAGTGAGTGGTTCATTCATTACATCCTCCTCCTCCATGAATGCACCGCACCAGGCGACCGTCACCCTCGGCCTCGCCTTCGACGAGGGGCTCGAGCGCGGCTCCGACCTCGGCAGGCACCTTCATCACCCCCCCCCCCCCCTCCATCACACCATCACACCACCATCACACCTCCGACCTCAGCAGGCGGACCCGCGCCAAGCGCGCGAGCACCCTCGGGGCCCTCCTCGTGCAAGGGCGCCGCCTGCTCGGGGGCGGCCGCCGCAAGTCGGGCGGCGCGCGCCAGTCGCAGGCAGCCCCTCCCAGCAAGCGGGGGTCGGCGACGAGGTCACCGCCGCCGGTGCGGGCGGGCTGTCCCTCCCCCGTGCCGCGCGAGGCGCAGGGTCGCGAGGCGCGAGGCCGCGCTCCCGACGCGTACCACAAGCCGTCGTCTCGCTCGACGGACCCGGCCGACCAGAGCTACCGCGCGTGTGACGGCGCCCGCCGGCCGGGCGACTCCGCCTCGCTGGGCGAGATGAGCCGAGATGAGCCGAGATGGGCCGAGATGAGCCGATGAGCGCGAGATGGGCCGAGATGGGCCGAGATGGGCCGAGATGGGCCGAGATGGGCCGAGATGGGCCGAGATGGGCCGGGTCCTCATCGCTGGGCGAGACGAGGCCATCCGAGCCGCGATTGTGCAGGGGGCGTCTCTTCACCACTCTTGGCGTGCGTGAACAGGCGACATGCGGCCGACGGACCGCGCGTCCGTGGTCATCGCGGCGGGCGGGTGCGCGTGGCGCGAGGCCGGCGTCGCGGCGGCGTGAACGGCGCCTCCTCACAGTGTCGGGCGCGAGCAGGTGGCTGCAGTGCGAGGCGGAGCTGCGGCACGGCCTGAGCGCGTACGCGATGCTCTTCTTTGCCCAGCTCGAGTCCGCGGCGGAGTCGGGCAGCCAGGCGGCGGCAGAGGCCCTCTCGGTGCCTGTCCGCCCGAGGACCGCGCGCCGCGGCGTGAAGGGCGTCTCTCTTCACGGAGCGGTGCGGTGCGCACAGGTGACCGCCGTCGAGTCGCGGCTCCCGCTCGCGACGCAGGCGGCCGCGCTGCTGCCCGAGTGCGCGGAGCGCCTCCTCGGCTACGCGTGCGCCCTGATCGCGATGGGCCTCTGCGCGAGCGGCAACCGCGCCGGATCGGGGGGAGGCGGAGGCGGCGCGGGAGGGATGATGCCGGCCGCGCTCGGCGGCGGCGGCCTCGGAGGCGGCCGGATGAGCGTCGGCGGCGCGCGGGGCGGCGCGGCGCGCTCTCGCCCGTCCATGTCTGTGCTGCGCTCCAGCCTCGCGGCGCTGCACGAGGCGGGCCGCCTCTCGAGACACTTGCGAGGCACTTGCGAGGCACTTGCGAGGCACTTGCGAGGCGTGGGCGGTGCGCGGTAGGCGGTCGAGGCCTTCGTCGAGACGTCGCCCGTCGCCAGCAGGCAGGTGGCGGGCGCGCTCTTCGCACCGCCTCCAGACGCAGCAGGTCTCCTCCGCCCCCCCCCCCCCCCAACCCCTTTCCCCGGGGACACGTTCCTGGCCCTCTGGACGGAGGCTCCCGCCTGTCTCGCACGCGGAGATGCGAGGGGTCGCTCGCCCTCGCACCTCTCTGTGTGGGGCGACATCTCTTCCTTCTGTCCCCAGGGGCGCAGTGCGGGAGCGGCGGCGGCGGCGGGCTGGCGGCGGGCGCCTCGCCGCCAGCGACGCGCGCGACGGGGTCAATGGAGGAGGGGAGCATGGAGCTCGCCGCACCCTCCTTCCTCGCCAAGCTCTGCCTCGCGCTCGGTGAGACGTAGCCGAGAGAGTAGCCGGGGTGGCAGAGAGAGTGGCGGAGAGTCAGTGGCGGAGAGGATGATCAAGCGAGGTCGGCCTCACCCGAGATTGGCGGGAGAGCTCACTCAGAGCTCTGCCTCGGTACACTTCCGAGTGGGGCGGGTGCGGCGGCGGCCCCTCACGCCCTCTCCCCGCGCCGAGCAGGCCTCTCGCCGCTCTCGAGCGAGGCGGACGCCGCGATGTGGTTCCGGCAGGCGTCGGCGCTGTCGGCCGAGGCCGACCACTCGCAGCTGCACCGCATGATTCTGATGCTCTCGGTGGACGTGCCGCTCTCCGCCACGCTGTGAGGTCGGCTAAAGACCTGGCTGCTCCTCTATCGCAGCGAGCGCGACCGCTCTTCGTTTGAAGGCTCGATTTGCTCATCTCGCTTGAGACGCTCTCTGACTCGCACACCGGCCTGGGTCGTATGAGCGGGAGCGGACAGCGGAGGCGTGGGGTGGGGTTTGACGATTGATCATTGTGTGCTTCCGCGTCACTACTGGCTCCGCCACTTTGTAACAATGAATGATTTTTCCTCTCTGCGACGGAGCCGCGACCTTCGCGGCGCTCTGCACACTACTGGGCGACGCCATCGAGCAACAACGGCATTGTGTGAGGATGACAACGACACGTCAATGATAGGCGCTCTGCACGCTGGGCGACGCCATCGAGCGGGCGGGCTCGCTCGAGACGGCCGCCGTGGCGAGCGTGCTCCGCAGCACGTCGCTCGTCGAGTTCTTCACCAGCAACATCTCGTTCAACGCCGACGGGCAGATGGAGGAGATGGACTTCCCTGTCGTGCAGTACCCGCCCGGCGCGGCGGCGGCCGGGTACTGGCAGGCTGACTACGAGGTGTTATAGCACCGCCCATCGCCCGACATACCACCCCCTCGTTGACGCCTCGTTTTCCTCTAGGTTGTCTTCGACGCAAAGGAGAGAGAGAGAACGTCTCCTTCCCAACGCCGCTGTGGAAGCTGCGCCACTGCCTGAACGAGAGGAACTGCTCGGGCGGCAACGGAAACGGCAAATGCCTCGTCGACGGCGGCTGCGATTGCCTTCCGGGGTTTAGCGGCGCCCTGTGCCAGGACGAGGACGTCACCGCTGGTCCGAAGGACGTGAACGTCAGGGCCCTCGCCGTGGGATTGGCGTTGGGACTCAGTGTACTGTTCTTCAGCTCCTGCATTGTCTGCTTGTGGCTGCGGCGGCGACAGAGGCAACTAGAGGTCGTCATCGCGGACTTTCGGGAGGAGGCGGATCTGCAAGCCGAGGCGAGGCAGGCGCTTGAAGATGCCGCGCTCGAGATGTCGGGCGCGCAATGCACCTTCGTCTTCATCAAGGCCGACGTCATTCGCTCCGGCCTCTACGAGGCTGCCGGATACAGCACTCTGCCACGGCTGCAGGAGATCGAGGAGAGGCATCCGGAGTGGGTGTGCAAGCGGCTGCTGCGGCGGCACCTCGCGTACGGTCGCCACGAGTACCGCGACAACATCCTCGCCGTCAGCCATCGCTGGGAGCAGCATCCACGTGAGGGCGGTCCGCGAGCATCTCCAGGCTTGTCCCTCGATCGAGTGCGTTTGGTACGACTACTGGTGCCTCTCCCTCTGCATTTGTTTGTCTTCTTGCCAAGTAGCAACCCAACTCGCTCTTGCTCTCCTCTTGCGCAGGTGCATGCCGCAAGGAGAGAGGACAAGACGCCCATTGAGAAAGTGGACTTCAGGCGGATGCTGATGAACGTCAATCTCCTCTATCTCGGCTCGTCGGTCCTCATCCTGCAGGAGCTGTCGTTGGTGCCTGTGTTTCTGCTTGTCGCTCCAGCAGATCCATGCACCGGACTCAGACCTTGCCGGTTTTCTCCACAGGACCCAGTTCGAGGCATATGGTGTAGTATGCGGAGCGGAGGCGTGCGACGAGGGACTCCGCCCTGCCCCAGCCGAGCGGCGCCGCTGCCGCGTGGTGCCCATCCATCAGGCCACAGAGGCGCTGGCTGTTGAGCTTGTCCGCATGTGGGCGGGGGCGATCGAGACGCTGCCTCGCGAGCCCGGATGTGACCGTCACCAACCAGTCTGACAAAGAGCTGCAGCTGTACAAGCTGCGAGATAAGTGCGGTCTCCCCGAGCCTTGCTAGCTTCTTGGAGCACTTGGAGTGCAGTCATCAACCGCACATCCAGGGCCGGGGGGCTAAGAAGCACACCTGTGTATGCTCGTAAAATTCTTTTCGCCTCAATCTCTCGGCGACTGAAAATAAACGCCGAGCAAGGGGCCAATGTTTGACAGCTTTGCACCCGCGCCAAGCATCCACACAAAACGGGTCAACCACACAAACGGCCCGTGCCCCGTCACAATAAGATCCCGCGGCTGCCAATGGCCGCTTCGCGTCGGCTCCTGCGCGAAGCCCAGTTGGCGCCATGCTCAGGGCTGCGAGCTGAGGCGCTTGCCGGATGCCGTGGCCGAGTCGACGCATCTCTTCGCCATGCTCGCCGTCGTGCAGAGCGCAATCGATCCACTGCTGCCGCACTGGCTGCAGCACTATGCGAGTCTTGGCGTCAACCTCACGATCGCGCGGATCGTCCTCCATGCACCGCGTTGCGACGGAAGCCGCGGGCTCAACCAGACCCTTGCCGCCCTCCGTCTCCACGGGGTCACGAGGCCGAGAATATTCATCGACACGTGGTCCTCCTCGATCAAGACCGACCTCGCCAATGACTACTTTCGCAAGGTGCCCGCCAACGCGTATATCATGCGGGTCGACTCTGACGAGTTCTTCTCCTTCCCGTGCGAGTTGCTGGGCGAGTTGGCGCGTGACCCGCGAGGTCTCGCCGTGCTCGGCATGATGTTTGACCGCGTCGCGGAGGACTGGTCCATGCCAGCCGTCACGCCCATCGGCACGCGCCCGCTGAGCGCACAGTACCCGCGCCGCTGCCGCTTCACCTTTTGCGCGTGGAAGGAGAACGAGGACAAGTGGATGCTGCTGCCAGCGCGCGACGCGGACGGCAAGCGCGTCCGTTTCCATTCGTCTGCCGCCCTCTTCAAAGGCCTGAAGCTGCGCTACCTTCGCTGGGCCTTCGCGCACTACCGATTCACCGAGGCGGCCGTCGCGCTCACAATGCGCAAGATCAAGGAGTACTCGCAGCAGAAGCATGAACAGAGCCGTGTGGGGCACTACACCTATCTCTCGGAGGAATTCTTTGCGAGGAAGCATAGCGGCGACGGCCACGAGATCAGCGGTCGCATGCGCTACACGTATGGCAACCAGTGTATGCCTTTGAATATGTTTCGTATTTGACACACAGAAGACACACATCTTGACTGATCTTAACTTTTGAGTGCCAGTCCGATTCGTCCAAATGGGGCTTGGGCTAGTGCCATTTCACTGTGGCACATATCGCGTTACAAAACCTTGATTTGACCATTTGCGCCATTTTGTCCCTCTCGGTGCCTTCCAGGGCGCAGAGGCCGCTGATCGCGTGGCGGTCGCAGCTATGCTTCCTCGCGAAGAATTCCTCCGAGAGATAGGTGTAGTGCCGCACACGGCTCTGTTCATGCTTCTGCTGCGAGTACTCTTTGATCTTGCGCATTGTG